CTTCTGTTCTATTTTTAGGTGTGTTTGTTAAATTTCTGAAATAAGAGTCTTTAAAAAAAAAAGTTTAGAAGAGGAAAGAAAAAAATTTTAAATATAGAAGTAAAGTGGGCATCGCATCTTCTGGGATATAACAGAAGTAATTTTTTGTCCATAGCCAGTAGTAGCATTTTGCACAGCAGTGGTCATCAAAGTTAAAACCTCTAGGCTTTTCTATGGAACCCAGCAGCAAGTGAGTCTTAGCACTGTGTTCTGGGAACTGAATGTATTTCCTCTAATGTAATTAGTTATAGGAGTATATATGGTTGCAGGCTACAGGGGTGCTGTGGTTTCCTCTCGTTTCTTTGAGGCGAGATTATGAAAATCAGGAATAGAATGGATCACAGGGTACTGCTTTTCCATGGCAAAATTCAGTGCCTCTCCTTCCCACCAAAGATTGATTTTGCCATGATAAAGAAACTCCTTTCTCCCCCAGGCACTTCATCAGGCCTGTGGAATATTTTGCCCAGCTATCGTGGTCCCCAAAAAGAAAACAAAAGTTGGGGATTATTGCTTCCTTTTGTAGCCATAGGATTTCTTTTCCTTTTGGCCTGGGAACAGCTAGGAGTTACTTGGGGAGTGGGAGTGGGGGCTGGGAGGGAATGTAGATTTCTTGCTGACATTCAAGCCTTGGCCAACTCCTCTAGACCACTAGTTGTACCACAGTTAGTTCCATTCAGCAAAAATAAATTGTAGACTTGTTGACATTTTTGTCCTCTTTACAATTCATTGTTTACTTTTATGTGACAGAGAATTTTGATGCAATTATCACTGAGCTTTCTGACAAAAGGAAAATAGCTAAGAAATTTTGATGAGTTACCCAGTTCATTAATCAGAACAAGCATCTCTAGTGACAGGGTTAGAATTACAATGAAGATTAGATAGCAAATTGCTGTTCCACCTAATGTCAGTCATTCCCAGTGACAGCAGTGTGATTACACTTCAGGGAAGAGCTTTTCTTGCCAACAGCACAAGGGCAACTCCAGTGCAGGTAATAAATTTAGCAGGGCAAGCTGTCATTTCTTCTCTTCAGTGGAATCCTTAACAGCCAAATGATGTCTTGTGGAAGATTCTGAGCGGAGGAAACCATGTCACTTTAAAACTTTCTAAATTTCACCTTGTAGTATTTTATTTTAGAAATTATTATAAGTATATACTTAGGAACAGTTCTTTCCACAGTGATTTTCTGTATTTTATTTACTTATCTCAAACGTGAATTATCACCACAACAATGATAAAGAGATGGTAGAAGTTAGGAAGAGAATGCTATATTTGAAAATCTACCAGAATAAAAACATGGTACAAAAATAAATGAACTAGGAGAGAAATGGAGGGGAGTCAGAATAGTTACCTGGCTAGTTAAAACTTTAAGCTCTCTTGGCTTAAAAGAAAAAAAGTAATCCTCTTCCAACCCAGTTATGATTTTAAATAATAGCTCTTGTTCAAAGAGCAAAAAGATAGAGCACTATTGTAGTTCCAGAATGTAGAACTGAAGAGGAGAAGCAGGCCTGGGAGCAGCAGGGGGCGGGAGGAGTAGAAAGAATAAATAGATCATGTCTGTGGAAATGTGCCGCTTCTCGGCCCTTCTAAATAAAAACAGAGAGTTAGCATCTTCTTCCAGAGAAGATAGGACTGCAAATATATTCCTTTCCCAAATATTTTCCTCTGAGCATATTTATGGGACTCTTGTTTACCTGAATAATGTTTGCTATGAATCAAGAATAACTAAGCAGTTATTCTGGATTCATGCTTTGCTTTTTATTTAAATTTTAATAGGATTGTCCCCGCTGCTAGGTATTTATTCAAAGGAAAAGAAATCAGTATATCAAAGAGATATCTCACTCGCATGTTTATTGCAGCACTATTCACAAAGATATGGAGTCAACCAAAGTGTTCATCAGCAGACAAATGGGTAAAGAAAATGTGGTGTATATATGGCATGGAATACAATTTGACCATAAAAAAGAATGAAATCATATAATTTGCAGCAACATAGATGGAACTGGAGGTCATTATGTTAAATGAAATAAGCCAGGCACAGAAAGACAAATATCACATGTTCTTACTCACATGTGGGAGCTAAAAGAGTTGATCTCATAAATGTAGAGAATAGAATAATAGATACTAGAGGCTGGGAAGGGTGGATGGGTGGCAGGGATCAGGGAATGAGGAGATGTAGGTTAACAGGTAAAAACAACAGTTAGATACAAGGTATAAATTCTGTTGTTCAACAGCAGAGTAGAGTGACTATAGTTAACAATGTAGACTGACTATAGTATATTTCAATTTATAGTTAACAGTGTAGAGTGACTATAGTATATTTCAAAGTAACTAGAAGAGAGAACTTGAATTGTTTCCAACATATAGAAATGATAATATTCAAAATGATGGACATCTCAGGTACCTTTACTTGATCATTACACATTCTGTAAATGTAACAAAATATCTATACATACCCCACAAATATGTAAAATATTATGTATCAGTAAAAAAAATAAAATAAAATTTTTTTTAATGGGATTGCTTTTTTGAACAGGCAGGAAAAAACCAATAGCAAGTCAATTTCAAGAAAGCAGTTTGTATATGAGTCTGTCACTCTGCTGTTGTTAACTTCTGAGTGGTAAAACTGTATTATACCTTTAAAACCAGGCATTTTGCTCTCAACGTCTCAACTCAAAATTTTCCTACCTAAATTCAGATATGTTGCTAACCAATGCTTTTCTACCATGGTAAGTTATATGTAGAGTTTCTTTTCATTATAAAAGGAGCAAAAAATTTGCCCTTCCTTTTTAGGAGAGACTTTTTGCCTAATATATTAGAAATTTCAGGTTGCCTAATTCCTTAAGTGTGCCACTAATTCTTTACTTTGTGAATTTAGTCATTATACCTTCCTCTACTTTAAGTTTTAGTTTGGTAAGATAAATCATAATAATATCTATAATTTCTATTTTGTAATGATGGTCTAAAAATTAATAAAATAGTACATGTAAATTGCTTTGAACTTTACAGAGAAAAGGACCATAGAAATTCAAGGACACTATTAATAGTATTGTTATTATCAAGGTGGATTATGTTTGTACTATTTCATCATTAGAAATAGCCCAAGAGTTAAAATTAGAGATGGCTATGCATAGAATATTTCACTAAGGCATTAAAGAAGAATCTCTTAAATGAAACTGGCAAATAGACACCAGATATTTTCTTTTGACCATGGCACACAAGTTAACACCATTTTTTTCTATGCCATATTTTATACAGCAGATAAATAAGGAAAAAGCATACCCCCTCAACCTGGCCCCTGTGTGTCTTCTCCTTGTTATGGCTGAAGGCTTATCCAGTAATCAGTATATCTCCTTTCCTTCCTCCCTTCCTTCCTTCCTTCTGTCCTTTCTTCCATTCTTCCTTTCAGACATCTAAAGTAAATGTCTGGAAAATGTGTCCTCCTTTGACATAATGGAAAGAGAATAAGGGCTTTTAAAAATTTGCCATCATTTCTCCTAATGAGAAATTATAATAAAGAATATTGTGTAGTTTGTCTAAATGGGAATATAAGTGACCGCCATTCTGGCCAAATGGGCTATTGCTATGAATTCTAGCATATTCTTCCTTATGTTATTGGTCTTTTTTTTATATATCCTCTCTCCCTATATCCTCTCAAAAGTAGAGATTATATCTTAGATGATTATGTTCAGAGTTCCCCAATTCAAACACAGTGGTAGGTGCTTAGTAAAAGTTGAAATGGTGAAAGTTAAATATTTTTAGAGAAAAGGAAGCAGTAAATAGGGCTGACCCTGATAAAGCTGCCAAGTTCTTGAAGCTGGCTGTCAGGCATCCCCCATACTTCTCACAAAGTCACTTCCCATGTGGTTGCTTCTGTTTTTGTGCTCCCACACTCTCTGCCACGCCTAGATTTGCCATCCCATTTGTGGGACCTTTTCCTTTCTCTCAGGAGACTCACTGCGTCGTGGAAGTCAGTAAACCGGTGATTATGGCATAGTATGATGAGTGTTTTGACTTAAGAAAACATAGATTGCTCTGGGAACACAGTGGCTGGGGGCTTACATTTGGGGAGAGGGGTTGGTCATAGGAGTGCTTCTTGAGACAGGTGACTCCTGAAGTAGTAGGCAGAGAGCAGAAAAGGACAGAGAAATTAGTGTGTGCATTCATAGGAAAGTGTGAAACAGCATGTTTGGTGCTAAGGCTGAAAGCTGAAAGTAATTTGATCTAGAAGGTGCATAAAATTTGCTGAGAAGATAGAAGATATAGGCAAGGACTAGGTCTCAGCAATTTTCTTAGACTAGAATTATGAGTAAAGTACTACTCTGGGGACATCCTTAGGGTCAGTAGACTTTGTCTAATTTGCTGCCAGTGGCATATAGTGGAAGATTGCAGGCAGCCTGAACATCTAGTCTCTCAAGGCTCATTATTGCCCTGCCGTGGTCAATAGCAGCCAGGCTGAATTCATTGCTTTTTAGCTGTTTTATTCTCAGGTACCAGAGACCCCATTCTATCCTCATGGGATTTCCCATGCTTACTTGTGTAGGACATCAGTGGTGTCAGTAACAGGAATGAATTAAATGGTTGGTATTTTAAGCTCCAAGACAGCCTGGCATGGGAAGCTGTATTGGAAGCAAGTCTTTCAAGCTTCTCAAACAAGCCCTTTACTTCATGTCTTAGATGTAAGTTGTTATTCCAGCTCCCCACAGGACTGGTGCCTTACAATGAAAATTAAGTATTTTATTTTATGTCATGAGGCTGAGAATGCCTCAGTTACATGACTTGAATATTTCTTGTCACTATCAGCATACAGGAATTGTGCTTTGTCTGTTCTCTTCCATCAAGACACACTTCCTAGATTAGGTTAAAAAAGCATGAGGGGAAAATCTGAGGAGAGGGTTCTCAATACCAGGTATTAGAAACACTATCGCTGATGGGTGGTGATATTCCAAATGTTTCCACTGCAGTGTCAAAAACGGTATTTCTCTGCCTGGCACAAGCTGATTCTCGATCATAGGATTAAGCTGGGGAAAGCTGGGACCCTGTCCGACTGGAAGAGTCAACTGAAGGTCCTGCGGGCCTGGAGAGACTACACAAGATCCCAGAAGTTGCAGCGGGAGACTCAAGCCTGGGAAAATGATCTTAGAGAAGAAAACAGGTACCATTACTTGTATGAACACGTATAGTATGTTTATCTGGTATATTTTCCTTCTGAAGAATCCAGAAATAAACTTTAAAAATGCTGTTGACTGGAATCATCTTATCCACTTATGAAATATGGTAATCACAGTTTTTCTATGTTACATCTCAAACTAGAAAATTTTCCTGAAAATTATAAGCAAACAAAATTATTCAATTAAAATATACTAATGTATATGATTTTCTTTCTTTAAAGGAACAAGGATTAGGCTTTTCCCTTACCTTCTGGTGTAATAGGATTGTAGCTGGACCATCTTACAATTCAAAAGAGAGAGTGTGGTTTATATGCCAATAATTCTCATTGATAGAAATCACTGTCTGCACAGAGAATGTTAATTAAGTACACAGGGAACATCCATCTGGGAGGGCCGACCTGCCAGGAGTGATTCCTCCCACTATGCTGTCTTTTGTTCCACACCTTATTTAGAGGCTTTTGACGTCTTTGTATCAGCTTCCTCTTATGCTTGTGAATGACACAGCATTTTATCTTCAAATGAAGCTTGCTTTATTCCATCATCTTAAAATTAAATACATTTCTTTTTCTCATTTCCAGATTTAACTTTGCATTCTTAAATCAAAATCATAGATATAGAAGGAACCATTTGTTTATTTGGGGGAGGAGGATTCATGTTCTTATGTGTAATCACTTCTCTACTAGCAATTCTATCATTCATTCAGGGTGAAAAAAATTGAGTGAATGGTATATGGAAGTATTATTATGTAGAAGGGTATGGCACTCCCTAGAGCTGTGCCATCCTGTGACAGCATGAGGCCCTGAAGACTGATGCATGGCTTCTTGTCCTCAAAGGACTCACAGTTGCATGGGCAAACAGGAATTAGAGACAGTACAGGTGTTGAGTAGTATTGTAAACTGAGTAATAACATTCCCATCTGCTGCTGAGGACGTGGGAGAGGGAAGTGTTGCTGTGGCCGAGGAGGCTCCCAAAGAGTTCCAGGAAAGCCTTTATGGAGAAGATGGGTCTTGATCTGGGGTCTGCACAGTAAATAGGATGTTGCTAGGGGAAGATGGGGAGATGGAGGTGATGGCATGAAGTATAGCCATCTGGATTGGCTGGAGATCATCAAGCATGTGGTCGTCAAGTTCATCAACTTCTGGAAGTCTTTGAATGGCAAGACGAGATGTTTAGCTATTCTTTGGTAAATAAAGGTGAATATTTGAAAGTTTTTAAGGAGGAGGGTGACCTAGTCAATTTCCCTTTCCTACAGTATGCTCGGAGAAATCTTCAGTGGAAAAAAAAAAAAGAGGCCAATATAGAAAACTCTCCTATAGTTTGTTTCCAAAATCTGAGGACCTAGTGATTGATATAAGAAATTGGGATGATAGCTTATTGAAAAAGGAATGGCTGGCAGGATTTTTTGGACAAAGAAGGGAAACTGGAGTTGTTGAAAAGTGGAAGCAATGTGAGTAAGGGCATAGGTGAGTGGAAATTAAGATGTTGAAGTTAAGTGGCCTGTGAGATTTACATGCTAGAAGAAACTTGTATAAGAAAAATCTGGAGAATTTAAGATTCCATTCCAATTAAACTGTTTAAATATAAAAGCACTAAATGGGCCAATTTTTTTAAAAAAGATCTTCTCAGAACTTTTTGTCTCATATCTGTGAATTATTTTCAGGTGTCTATTTTTAAATGTTCAGAATGAGTACTAAACTTTTTTAAACTACCACAGTTAGAAAATATTTAACTTATAATAATTTTTTACTATAAAGCCTTAGAGCAAAAAAATTCTAGAGCAAGAAAGCACCTCAAAGATTGTCTGATTCAGCCCCTCATTTTACAGATGATAAAAGTAAGGCCCAGAGACAATAAATGACTCTCTCAAGGTCATGGAGCTAAGAGAAGCTAGATGAGGACTATAGCCTTGTCTGTTTGATTCTGAGTCAGATACTTTTTCCTATACCACACTGCTCAGTCCGTTAAAACAAATAACATCTAGGTCATGGTTCCCTAAGACAGCCATGTTTTTCAGTTATACTGCAATTTACTTTAGATTGTTGCAGATGGAAAATAAAAGTGGCAGTTAACAAATGGCAAGTCATTCTAGAAATATGAGGAAAAAGGAGTTATTAAAAACAAACTTTCTTTTGTGTTGGTCTCCTACAAATCCCTGGCTCTCTGTGTGTTGTACTTTGTTCTAGAGATTGTTTTAGGAAATTAAGTCAGGTGGTTTTGTTTAAAAATGGTTGGGATATTAAAGGTGGAGAAAAAAGCTCATGGGTAGCTACTACAAGCAGAAACCAAGAAATTTCATGGGCTTGAGAGTGTAAAGAGAGCCAGCACCCTCTATGCTGTGCTCATCAGGGTTTCTCCCAGTGCCTCAATGAATACCGAAAACACTTGTTGAAAAATAGATGAGTCCATGATGAATGGAGCACTCAGTTGCCTCCTCTCTCACTATTGAACTTGATAGGGTTTTCAAACATTCTTTCTAAATAGTGAGCTCAAGGGATGAAAGACAGCATTTATTATAATAGGTTACTCATTGTAGAAACTTAACTCTCACACAGATTGACAAAACACAGGTGATTCTGTGGCCCATTCACCTGGACATTGAAATCATTTGTTATGTTCCTTATTCAGATGTCAGCTGTGACCTCATCCTCCAGCTCCTGCATCCACACTTGTTTTGCCACCTGGGGTTTCCACTCACTGGCCTATGCCCCATGCTGGGCTTTTTTTCTATTTCCTCTTTCCTTTCTGTTCTCCCCACCTTCTCTTTGGAGCAATAACCAATCCCTCTCTTCTTATTTATAATTTCGCAACCGTCTTTTCTTAGTGAGCCTGTGCTCAGAGTCTCACCTTCACTCCAAGGATTTATCCACTTATTTCTTCTAAAAATGCATCTTGCTTTCCCTAATAGGAATTGTGATCACTCTATTTTTGTCCATCTCTTTTTTTAAAGGAGTAATGGTAATGGTAATGGTGTTATAAAATTTCAGTATAGTGATGCAATGTCAATATTAAATATTTCCAAACTCTGAGGATTTACTTACTTAGGTAATGCAACGACATTCTAGTACACACACTAAATTAGACCCTTTGACATGGTGATCATTGAAATTTGAACTGTATTTTCTATTTCCTTAGCATGTTCACTTTTGAAAGTTGGTTCCATACCTTCCACTCCTTCTCCTTCCCTTCCTCCCTGAATTTATGGCCAGCCCCAGACAAAATTGGAAAGACAAAATTCAAAGTCTTCTGCCAACCCTTCCTGAGCCCTGATTTCTCAGTTCTTTCCTAGGAAGCTTCTCTGCCCTTCGCATTTTCTGTCTTGCCCTCTCTTGCACCAGCACTCTGGGCCTTTCCCAGAACATGCTTTTATTGCTTCCCTCTGTCCCTCAAGCCCCTCACTCTTTGTTACTGCGATCCTCAATTGGTATGTTATCCCTTCCAGGAATCTTATTTATACTTTAACAGGAATTGTCTGAAAATAGTGCCTAAAATGTAAGTTACAGTAATTTGAGGGTACGGTGGCAGGCCAGTGAAAAAATTGGCCCTTTGGCATTCCTCAAACGATGTCATTTACTTGTTCATTCATTCTGTTTAATGGAATGAATTCATTCAGTCAACCAACTTTACTGATGCTTACTGTATACTAGACCCTCTCCTAAGTACTAGGACAAAAAAAGTGTTAAACATTCTTGCCTTCTAGGAGTTTTCAATCTAAGTAAAGAAGTTAAAGATTGTACCTAAATATTAAAAATAATTGCAACAGAAGACACCACAATAAGATAAATACTTAGGAGTGAAATAGACTTGGCTATCATGCATTATAATCCTTCCAGAAACTATTTATAAATAGGAATTCATGGGCCCCACCTCTGAGAGAGGCAGAATGTAGCTAAGTAGAACAGGGTAGTTTTCAGTTTGAGGAAAAACTGGTAAACTAGTACATAGGCAGGCTTGTGTAGGAACAGGTCGGGGGAACCTGCCAGGCTCGCCCGGAGGTGCAAAAGGGAAGTGAGGCTGAATTGAAATAGACTGTCAGACAGTCCCATTTCCAGTACTCCTGATTTCAGTGTTCTTTTGGGCAATCATTTGTGGAGTGCATGCTTGATTGTCCTTCCCTCTGTGCTCACCTGGGTATGCGGGTGAGCAGCCAGAAGCTGCATAGCATCAGCAGCTAGTAAAGCTCCTGATAACTCTATCAGACAGGCAGGAGGACCAGACTTGTATTGCCTGGCTCAGTTTAAAACTTTTTAAGACAGAATTGTCTCATCTTCCACTTTTTCCCTGGGGGCTACTTGGTGCATTTTTGAAAACATGAGCTTATTCATTCCTATTCCTGCTGACCCTGCTCATCCCAGATGCAACTGTTCCTGTCACTGCTGTTTTATATTCTGCATCAGATTTCAGCACTCAGTCGGATCACTAGTATGTGGTTATTTATCATTTCTCATTCCCTTTTAAAAAATTCAAGACACATTTTATATATCTACTAATCTTGTCCTAAGATAGCATTACTACCTTACATGTGAATTTTGTTCTATATCTTCAGAGTTGTTTAGAAAATTTATTAGATTCTCAAATTTTCTTGTAGGATAGGTAGTATAGTAGGGCTTATTGATACTATTTTTGAGAATGTGTCTGTGGCTTAGAAACTTTCAGTAGCTTGCCCAGTGTCCCATATCTAGTTAAGTGTCCGGACTTCTGGGTTCTAGAATATGCAGCCATCATTAAGTATTGCTTGAGGTGTTGACCCTGAGCAGCGAAGTTCATACTTAAATTCCCATTTAAACCTTTTGTATTTTGTATTCCTAGATCTGCAGAGACAGCCTTTCTCTGCATGCATTTATATAATTGTGATGATCAATTTATATACGCTTGCTGGAAATTCCCTGATTTCAGCTTTGGAACATATTGGGACAGGCTATTTTTCATAAAGGAAATTTTATGTCCTTAGTTTTATAATTCTCTGGGAACTATGTCTGAAACCATTTCTTTAGGTGAGGATACCCAAGTGAATTCCATCTGACTAAGATTTGAAGAAATTTAAGTGATTTTTCACTTTCAGAAATATTTGTGGTTTTAGTGTCATCCTTTAAAAAGGCTGGACCTTGGCATATGTGGAACATTACCACGCTGCTGAGTGAACTTCAAGGGGGCAGGAGTGGAACCAGCCCTGCCTCTGGATCCCTGGCTTCTGTGCTCTGCTCTTCCACCTTGCCCCACAAATACAGATATTTTAACTATTTTCAAATCCCCTATTATAATCATTATAGCGTGGGCTTTTTTAAGCACTATAGTGAACATGCATTTTTTTTTTTTTTACTTTTTCTTACTTTTTTAATCTTGTTATGTTTACAGAAATATTTTTTTCTTTGCCTTTTCATAGTGTCCAAATAATCTCCTCCCTGACAGTCAAAAACCCAGTACTGCTTTTGGCTGTTTATGCCATAAAACATGAAATTAATATATCAGGTAAATTTCACACTCCTCGTTCCTGAACAGATTGATGTAAATTGAATTTCACATTAATCAGACAGAGCAACATACATCTTCTGTCCTGTGGAAATTTATGATTTTTACTCACTTGAATGAAGTGTTACAGGGTTTTTTGTTTGTTTCACTGTTTACACACTGATATTTTTGGAGCTTTGTTCTTACCTGTGTTGCTACCTAATTATTATTATTCTAAAATTTTTATTTCAAGGTTATTCAGTCTCAGATATGTTATTTATTTCCATAAAAGTAAAATATTATGTATAAATATTATCACCTATATTATACTTTTATTACAAAACCCATCAGTAAGCCTGTCATCAAGTATTTATTGAGTATGTACCTATCAATGCATTAGTAGGAAGCAATTAAAAATAATGATATATGCTGTTGGCAGAGTTGCTTATTTTTTAAAGAAATACAGAATAGATTAGAACAGAAATATCTGAGTATATCTCTGGTAGTAAGGGTAAATACAGTTTGGTGAAATTTTGTTTCCATTATATATACTTTTGTTTCATATACACATATACACACATAAACTTGTGTATTGAGTCACAGTGTAACATTTTTTTTTACTGTATATGGCAGTCAAAAAAGGTTTAAAAGTCACATAAATGTTTTAAAAACCGTAGAAATGTTCTCCTGACTCATTGACATAGGAACTTTATGATTTTCTTGATATGACCTCAAAGAGTCCATGAGGAGATTTAAGCATTATATATGTTTAACAGAAATGAATATGCAAACAGTGTTATGGAGAACTTGATACAAGTCACCTTTACAAGATAAAATCAAGTATGTGCCTAAATAATATTAGATTTTAAACCTCAAAACTGATCCCTGATGCCACATAACAAGTTCCAAGCTCACAACCCACTTTGTCAGAGATAATAACCATCCACTTGTAGATGGATCTCAGAGACCTCTATGCTTAAATTCTCTCGACTGGCTGCTACCAAAATGTCTCCTAATGGAGGTTCCCATTGGGAATGGTCTATGGCTGACATTGACACCACTTCCCAGCTCCACTCAGTCTTGTCCCCTAATGTTTATAAGATTTCCAGGAATCAAAAGGAGCTCTTCCTTAGGAAGATCTAGATGATGACTGAGTTCCATGAGAGCAAGTGCCTTCCCTTTCTCTTTCGCACATGTCTAGTATTTAGCAAGTATCTGCACAAAGCAGTCGTGTATTCAGTTCAAGGGTTTGCTAAATGAGTCCTTCTCTTTAGCAATCCTTTCTCTGACCAAGTCCTTTCACAAGATGTACCCCATGGTTTTACTTTGACTTTTATAAATCTTACATTTAATTATTGACAAGTCATTTGTTAATTAGTATAGTTTTGTTCCTTTCTCTTGTTCCCAAACCTCTGCCTTTCTTGGATTTCCATGCATAGCTGAATCTCTCTCAATTATGCATTTATCTTTTAAAAGTAATTATTTATATACCTACTCTTTTTGTTCCTTCCCCTCCAAAAGCTGTCAGAAACTATTTTATGGTAATCAAAAAATTTAATATGTCTTTGTGACATGATAGAACAGAGCAGTTAGTTTTTCTTTTTCAAGGTAATGTCTTGAGGTGCCAGTACCATCTATGAGGAAACCCTTTGCCCTGGGGAATTTCTAAAGTAATTCCATTTAGCTTAATACAGAAGGATAAGCTAGAGCTAAATGGAAACAGTTCTGGTACTACTTTGGACTTGTGCTTTATTCATATTGTCAATTAACAAAATGTAAATGTCTTCTTTATTTTAATGGAAGTGCTTTGTTACTTAGAAAACAACAACTGGCCACTGAGTATAACCGGAAACAAGTTCTCCGACACTACTTGACAGAATGGCAGCATTGGCATGGTGCAGAGCTCCTGAAGAGACAGCTGGCTCAAACAAAGGAGGAAACTAGGAAGAAAATGGATGAGCTGCTGAAGGCAGTGTCACTAGGGAAACTCAGTACAAATGGGTCATCAGGCATCAGTCTACCTGAGGAGGCAACAGCCATGGTGGGTCCACTGGTAAAAAATGGAGAGGTACATTGTTTTTCCTTTGTTTGATCACCCTGCTTATTAATCATTGACATTTGAGCTTTGCACTTTTATAGCTAGTATAAATCAGCCATTGTCAGATTGCCTTGTCTAGGCTATCAAAATATTAGATCTGCTACCAATCACAAAGCTTATCTTTTAGGCAGGATTTATTTTCTTGAACAGAATCTTCTTTTTATAATCACATATAAACTTTGGAAGTTAGCAGGGACATAATACAGAGAGGGGACTTAAAACAACTAAGTGAAATTCTCCTTTAGGCACAAATGGATAAAGCACTATTTACAACTCTTGAACTCCTCTCTTTTGATCTTTGGACATTTCCTTTCTAAATGAGCTTGTGACTTATAAGAATTTTAGAATTTTAGAATTTTTATTTTTCTAATAAGAAAAGTCATATGTACTAATTGTAACAATTTGGTAGGGAAAAAAATCCCAGAGAAGAAAAAAATTCTGTCATCTGTATGTAACCACTAATAACATGTTGAAGTATAACCATCTAGTCTCTTCTCTTTTCAAGCACATGCAAATTTGTCTCTTTTAATATTTTATTTAGCTTTTAAATTTTCTTTAGTGAGATTGTTGAGGAAATTTAGTCTGTTGTAATTCAGGAAAAGGAAGGCCATGATTTTTTCTTTTAAACAGTGATGTGATTATTCTGTTTGTCGAAAAAAATTTTTTTTGCATTTTCACAATATAACATGAGAATGTTCAGTATCACTACATATAATTCTGCAACAGTAGTTCTCAGCTGACAATATACCTCAGAATCAGACATATTAAATCAGAATTTCTGGGTGTGCGATGGCTGTATTTTTTTTTAAATTTCAACGGGCGAACCTAAGACATATCCTCTGGTTAAGGACTACCATTCTGTGTCATCATTTTGTAATAACTACATGATAGTCTATAATGAACCATAAACTAGAATCTGTTTTTTAAGTCTTCTATTGTTGGAGTTTAAGTTGTTTCCTATTTGCCACTATTATAAACAAGGTTTCAGTGAATATCCTAGTAGCTAAATCTTTGCACATATCCATGATGCTTTATTAGGACGATACCTAAAAGTAGAATATGTGTTCTATTTTCATCTTAATATTGCTTCAATATTTGCATTTCCTTGATTACTAGTGAGGTTAAACATTTTCATATTGGTTATACAGTCATGCACAGCCTAATGATGGTTTGGTCAACAGCTGACTGCATATTTGGTGGTGGTCCTGTAAGATTATGATGGAGCTGAAACATTCCTGTCACCTAGTGACTTCCTGATAATCCTGATCCTCTGTAGGCCTAATGTGTATGTTTGTATCTTAGTTTTTAACAAAAAAGCTTAAAATTTTTGTAAAAACACCCACAAAAACATTTTAAAAATAGAAAAAAGCTGAATCAGCATATAAAGAAAAAATATTTTTGTACAACTGCACAGTGTGTTTGTGTTTTAAGCTAAGTGTTACCACAAAAGAGTCAAAAAGTTAAAAACATTTTAAAGGTTATAAAGTAAAAAAGATATGGTAAGCTAAGGTTAATTTATTATTGAAGAAAAAAATATTTTAAAAATAAATTTAGTGAAACCTAAGTGTACAGTGTTTACAAAGTCTGCAGTAGTATGTGGTCATGTCCTAGACATTCACATTCACTCACCACTCACTCACTGACTCACCCAGAGCAACTTGCAGTTCTGCAAACTCCATTCATAGTAGGTGCCCTATACAGGTGTACCATTTTTTATCTTTTATACTGTATTTTTACTGTACCTTTTCTATGTTTAGATATGTTTAGATACACAAACACCACTGTGTGACAATTGCCTACAGTTTTCAGTACCGTAACATGCTGTCTCGGTTTGTAGCCTAGGCGCAGTAGACTATACCATATGGCCTAGGCGTGTAGTAGGCTATACCATCTAGGTTTGTGTATGTACATGCTACGATGTTGGCCCAACAACAAAATTGCCTAACAGTACACTTCTCAGAACATATCCCGGTCGTTAAGCAATGCATGACTATATATATACCTATATATGGGTACAGAAAGATAGATACAGATGCATAGTGACTTGTCTCTTCATGCCCTTTGTCCATTTTTCTATTTGGTTATGTATCTTTTTCTTATTTATAGGCGCTCTTTATATTTTTTAAGACTATTAATGCTTTTACTATTACATATGTTACAAACAATTTTTCTACCTTTTCATTTGTCTTTTTGGCTTAGTTATGGTGTTTGGTACTATACACAGCTGTTAAGTTTTTATAAAGTCAATCCTGTCAGTGTTTTCTTTCATCATTGCATTTGTCATGTTTAGAAAGGCTCTTGGAGAAGATCCTTTACCCCCTCCCTTCCACCCACCACGTAATGCTGTTAAATACTTAACTCAGACATGTGAAATTAAATAGGGCACTGGAGGGTTCCCAGCCTTGCTTTTTACCCTGATTATTGCTAGTAAGTAGGCTGGTTTTAATTTAAGCTCATTCTCTCAGCAAAGGGGCATCATGAGGATGCTTATTGGGACTTATGTAACATTTTGGTCCCTTCCCCTAGGCAATTAATCTACCTTTATGTCAGTTAGATAATTTTGTCTCCATTGAGACTCAAAAGAGATGTCTATCTTAAGAAATAGCTGTATGGAACATTTTATCTTACAGAGTTCCACAGCTATT